TAAAAGGGCGTTTTTCCTCTCCACTGTCGCTATAAGCATGCTTAGTGTGAGGGATTGCCTTCAAGGCAATGAGTCGATTTAATCAGCTGGTTTTCCTTAGATAGAAAACTTTGAATCAATTTGACTGAATGATCAGGTTAAACTGTAAAGTGCCTTAAGATGACATGTGGTGTTAATTGGCGCTATAGAAATAAACAGAATTGAACTGAAATGACTGTCAGAGAGATGAATTTTAAATTTGGATGCCGCAGGAAGGAATGACTTCCTCTATGGGTGACCAGCACATCATGAAGAGACGCAGAATTATCCAGCATGGATTTTATCCTTGTCAACATTCTTCTCTCTGAAGCTGCTTATTTTATTGTTTCTGTTTATTTCATATCTTTATTTTTTTATCTGCTAGGGTATGCAGGAGAATTTGACTTTTATCAGTGGTTCCGAAAGTTGAGGATGTATCATTAGAACCATTAGCAGTTTGCCATGGTATGGATAAACTGATGCATCGCTGGATCATGTTTTTAGCCACATTGGCTTTTCTTTTCTTGTATAACAAGTGGATTTTATCGGTTAATCCTAGAGAATAAAATCTACCGAGTTTTCCAGACTATAGAGTGCACCTGAATATAAGCCGTGCCCCCTAAATGATTTGAAAGAACTGGAAGCATACATATATAAGCTGCACTGGGCTATAAGCTGCTGATATCCACTCAACTATATCCCACCAAACCTGTAGGGGGAGCTCTACATGTAGCCCCTAGTGTAGGGATGAAGAAGACTGCTAGCGTTAGCTTGTTGGCTATCAGCAGTAAGAGCATCAGCTTAAAGTTGGGGCTTCATCAGCTCTTTATTTCAGCTCTGCAGGAGTTGAGCTCAGTGTCTTCATTGTTTCGGCAGCTTTAATGCGACAAATAAATGACAAAACAAAACATGTTCCTGTGCTAAATAAAAATTAGCCCCTTATTCTTTCATTTCCAACTTTGAATTCCCCGCTTTTGGTTTAGTAAAAATCCACAGAAAAACCGCACAGTTCAAAGTGTGGGGGGGAAAAATAGTGGCTTATAGTCCGGAAAATACGGTAATCAAATGAATTTATTTATCTTGAGTTTATCCGTCCCGACATCCGAGTTCAGAAGTTACGCCACAACCTTTCCTTCAAGAATTTCTCTTCATTTTGCTCCTTTTTTAGGTTTGTGACCATCTTTTTAGTCCCCTGCTAATATAGTTATCACCCCAGCATGATGTCGCCACCACCATGCTTCACTGTTTGGCTTGATTTGGAGATCACCTGACCTCAGTCCTCAATTGATTTCAATGAACATCTGGTTTTTGGGCCACATAGTTGAAGACCAGGCTATTGCAGTGAGGATGTCCTTCATGTTTTTATGTCTGATCAGATCTGTGTGCTGCTACCTGACAAAATTCTCTCTCATTTCATTTTTTCTTCTTAGTCGTCGTCTTCTCACGAGCTGTTGCACCAGCTGCCATCTCAGCCCACCCAAGATGATCTTCACCTGCTCTTCAAACATTTCCGGAGCTCTGAGAGCGCGGCGGACGACGAGGGAGCCCAGCCAGTGCACCATGTCAGGCTCCGCTCCCGCAGCCTCAGGTACAGAGTTTCACTGAAAGAACGACTTTAATCCAACTTTGAGTTCCTGAGTGTCTGCAGGCTTTAATAATGGGCTGATTGGAAATGAACAGCAGGGTTTAATGAATTATGTAGCGACTGTTAGTTCTGGAGACGCACTCAAAATTAGACCTTTAGTCTTAAACAGTAATGAAATAATTGACTATTAGTGATCCACATATTTTACTCCCACAATTTGGGTTTTTTCTGATACCCATATTTTTCCATTACAAGGTTTCCGTGGGTCATTAAAAAATCATAAAATTATAATTTTTTTAAATTAAGGCATTAATTGACATTAAATTAATTAAATGTGATTATCATGGGGTTTTCAAAATGCTTTATTAAAAAAAAAAATGTTTTTATAAAAACAATTTCATCAGATCCCAGTTGGAAACAAAGACCAAACTTTTTTGGAGTTAAACCAGCATCAGATTAGCTGCATTCTAACCCAAGACAGGGTTCCTGCAGGTCCTTAGAAAGTCTTAAAAGGCATTGAATTCTTCAAAATAAAACTAAGGCCTTAATTGGTATTAAAATGTCTTAAATCAGTCTTTCGTAGGTCTTAATTTTTAAAGTATCATAAATAAGATAATTTTTATTACGATTTACTTTTGTAACCTAAATAAAACATTAAAATTGAGAATTCTTTTTTTATTTAAAAAAATAAGTGGCTCGCCATTATTGGTTCCGTCCCGATAGCGGAACCAATAAAGCGTTGTTGCGGCCGGGACATTTGGGAGATGCGCCATTAACTTTTTGTCTGGAAAATATGAGCAAGTGTAAATGTAACCAAAATTGTCTTAAAACGTCTGGAATTTAACTCG